ATTCCGGATGGACCTCGGATTTCCTGACCTGACCAGCCCTGCGGCGCGGCACGTAGGGCAGCCGCGACGTGGTACCAGGCGTCGTCTCGGTGCGCGGCGGCTCGTCGGATACTTTGACTGGCAGGTGTCTGATAGATCGCCAGACTGTCAAACAAAGGATCGCCAAGTGCCGTGCGTCGCAATGTCATTACCCAGTACAGCCCCACACATGTGGCTGGCTTGCTTCGTGTTCGTCACTAGAGTCACGCATTCAGTGGTGCTCAGACAACTGCGCTGAGTGGAACGAGATGTGTTTTGTCTGGCTTCCCCATGCGCTTCGGTGCAGGTTATAGGCCAGGGGTTGCTGTTGAACAGCGGGTAGGCTTGCGAAAGCTTTGCGGAAGCTTTGTGAAGCTTCAGTGGACTTGGCCTCGTGTTCCCCCACTGCCCCCCCCCTGTCAGCCTCCCCCCCTCCACCCCCTGAGCACTGACGATCCGCCTGCCCCTAGGCACCGCCTAAAATACCTCCCTGGCAAGAGGCACACAGGATTTGGAAGGTAACGGTCAGACACTGTCTCTCTTGACCATGAAATCCATCCAGCGCACGGTGAGACACCAACGTCACCTGTCGTTCCTGCAACCCTCTAGGCTTTCTTCACCAGCCGCACGCAAGGGGCCTGTCATCACATCCAGCAAGACATGAGCATCGCGATGCTCATTCTGCTTGCGCCCACGTTTTCAACACAGCCGCCATAATGATCACTCTTCGTCGGTCGTCGCGACGGCCAATCCTCCTATGTATCTCGCTCATCCTGCTTCTCTTCTGGCACTTTGGCCTACCACCCAGTGTAAGGAGGCAGCCAAAACCCATACCCGATACGCAAGGCGTGCTATACCGCCGGTCTAGCTTTGATTGGGCCAACCTGCGGCGTCAGTATCCTCGCGACAAGCTGCTCCGTTTGCCCAAAGGCGACCCCATCACGTTTCCCAGGGTCCAGCGCGACCCTAGCCAGTCCAGCAGTCCCGCCACGGCTGTCGAGGTCATTCAATCGAGGCGCAATGCCGTTCTCAACGCCTTCCGGAGGAGCTGGGCGAGTTATCAAAAACACGCCTGGACCTGGGATGAGCTGATGCCCGTCTCCGGACAGGGCAAGAATCCCTTTGGTGGTTTCGCTGCCAGCATCGTCGACAGCCTCGACACCCTCTGGATCATGGGTTTGCGCCGAGAATTCGACCAGGCGGTGCAGGCGGTGGCCCTCATCGACTGGGACAACACGACCATGACCTCGATCAACATGTTCGAGACGACCATTCGCCATCTGGGCGGCCTGCTCTCCGCCTACGACCTCAGCAGCGAGCCCGTGCTTCTGGCGAAAGCCACGGAGCTGGGCGATATGCTCTACGCTGGTTTTGATACCGAGAACGGCATGCCTCCGTTTTGGTTCAAGTTCTCCGCAGCCAAGTACGGCCACCAGGTCGGAGGTGATCGCGATTCGTCCGCCTCTGGATGCTCAATGTCCATGGAGTTCACTCGTCTGTCCCAGATCACGGGCGACCCCAAGTACTATGACGCCACGGAGCGTGTCAAGCAATTTCTCCGCGACACCCAGCAGGATACGCTGATTCCCGGCATGTGGCCTGCCTTTCTCAACTATCGAAAGATGCTGGCCACCGATACCCACTTCACCATAGGGGGCCAGGCCGACTCGCTGTACGAGTACCTGCCCAAAATGCACGCTCTCCTGGGAGGCCGTGATCCGCAGTACGCCAAGATGGCCGAAGAGGCGTTGGACACCGTCTCCAAAAACCTCGTCTTTAGACCTTTGATTCCCGATAATGCCGATATTCTTTTTATTGGTGACACCAACGCCCACAAGACGCGGGCCAACGAGCATGTCCCGGAGATGCAGCACTTGTCATGTTTCGCCGGCGGCATGTACGCCCTGGCCTCGCGCCTGCTCAACCGGCCAGATTACATGTCGATCGCCGAGAAGATAACACGCGGCTGCGTGTGGTCCTACAAAGCCTTCCCCACGGGTCTCATGGCCGAGATCAGCTCTCACATCTCCTGCGCCCAGCTCACCACGCCACCCAATACCGACCTTCAAGCCGCCTGTGAGTGGTCCGAAAAGGCGTGGAAGCTCCAGACGTTCAGCCGTGGCATCCAGGACACGATGCCTATGGGCTTCCGCTCGGTTCGCGACCCGCATTACCTCCTGCGCCCCGAGGCCATCGAGAGCGTGTTCTACATGTGGCGTATCACGGGCGCCGAGGAGTGGCGCGACGCCGCCTGGGACATGTTCCAGGCCATCGTCAACGCCACGGAAACGAAGCTGGCGTACTCGGCCATTCGGACTGTCATTGTTCCCAAGGGCGGGGAAACGGAGAAGACCGATTCCATGGAGAGCTTCTGGTTCTCGGAGACTCTGAAGTACTTTTATCTCATTTTCTCCGATGACGACGTTTTGAGCTTGGATGAATGGGTGCTGAACACTGAGGCGCATCCGTTCAAAAGGCCACGCCCCGGATCTGCGTGAGGGTTGACACTGGCTCGTGCATTGAGCAATAGTTTTACGAAGAGCATGGTGAACATGGTGAGCTTATAGAAGGAAAAGGAGGATATACCCCGTTCTTGTCGCTCAGAGCGAATAACCCAAGGGGTCCGATTAGCGTTGGCTGATGTCATTGCTTGAGTATCATGTATAACAACAGCATTCATGTCCCGAATTATGGTGCAATGGAGAATGTGATGCAGTGATGTGGCAGCAGCGTGGTGGCTATCTGGTCGCACAGGGCTCAGGGATGCCGTCCGGCCAGATCACAAACATGGAGATCATGCTTAAAAAGTTGACGTCTCTAGTCTATGGGCAACTTTACAACTCAGCAACAGTTCTATCAGTCTCTTTACGGCCTGTGATTTGTGACGGTGTCTCCAAAGCAATCAGGACAAGACCGTATCAACAGCACGCATAACGGTATAACCTTGTTCGATGCATGTTTCTGATGTATGGGCGGCCACCTGAGAAGGCCCGACCTCCGATAAGCGCATATCAGATCGATTTCGTCACCGATCTGTCAGAGAGCTCCGAGGCGACCTGTTTCCGACATTCGTCAGCTTCGCACATGTTCCCTCTCGTGTTGATCCCCTACAAGAGACGTCGGCATGCGTGATGAGGGATGCGACGATACTACAACCCCATCCGAGCGGCGGCCTCTCTCATCCGTTTAGATGCACGCCTACCTCCGAGATCACAGTTCCGCGCCTTCACAACCACACGTGCCCTCCATCGCAGCCATGACGGCGCGGGCGCCCAGGACCACTATGCCACGCTCAAGGTAGCACCCAATGCTTCGCCCTCTGAGATCAAAAAGTGAGTGCTCTTCCCTGGTACTTGGTACTCGATCCCTAGACCGCCCTCACGCGACAACACGCAACTAAGTCTCGTCCCACCTCCTCCCAGATCCTTCTATGCCCTCTCCAAAGCCCACCACCCCGACCACAACCCGAACGACCCAACGGCGACGACCAAATTCCACGCCATCTCCGAAGCCTACGCCACGCTCGGCACGCCCGCCAAGCGCGCCGTCTACGACCGCGACCACGCCCGCCACAGCCACCACGCCCACGCGCACCACGGGCACGGGCACGGCGGCGCCCAGCCCCGCGGCTCCTATCACTCGGCCGGCGGCCGCCCGGCCTCGGGCCTCTCGCGCCGGCGATCCGCCTTTCGCGGCCCGCCACCGAGCTTTCTACCGCAGCGGCGGTTGGGGCGCGCAGACGGAGAAGCGCAGGCCGCGCACGACGACAGCACGGGCGGCACGGGCGCGACGCCCCACGGCACGCGACCGCCGCCGCGCGCCTGATGCCGGCAGCCGAGCGA